ACTTGATTTGGACCCCTCAGATCCCTGAACTGCACGCTTCTCTACCCTTCTCACCTTTTCAAGTGCTCCCAACTTCACCTTCCTTCCAGGGCATTTGTGCAGATCGTTGTCAGTAAAGGAGGAGCGCTTACTGTTTTAGGAGCCAGTAACATTCGAGGATTTCTCTGTGGACTTCACTGAGGAGGAGTGGGGTCCCCTGGACCCTGCTCACAGGAAGCTGCACAGAGCTGAGATGCCGCAGCCCTACAGCCACTTGGTCTCAATGGGTAAGAACATGAACCTGGACACCTGCCCATTGGAGTCTTTGTTTCTTCAATTTTAAATAGTGATGGGGCCCCAGGAGTTGTAGTTCAGGAATCAGAGTTTCCTAATTTCTTTTTGACACAAAGGGATGTTTCTGATTATTCTAAGCAGCTAAAGAACTTTACTTGGTAAGAACTGGAGAATTGTAGCTTTACTGAGTCATCTGAGAAATCATACCTGATCCATCCCTCATACGGCAGAATTTGGTACTGATTTTCCTTCTGCACAGTTACCCAATCCCTGTGTATTTCCCAGATATGATCTTCCAGTTGCACAAAGTTGAAGTTAATTACATAATGAAGAACGAACTCCAAAGGAATCAGCAAGGCATCATGGCAAGTTACAAAAACATGAAAGAGGAGTCCCTTTTTATATTTTATTTTTTTAATTAAATCTTTATTGTTGAAAGTATTACATGTCCTCTTTTTTCCCCCATTGACCCCTTCTAGCCCGACCCCAACCCCACCACCAGCCCTTCACTACCCTATTGTCTGTGTCCGTGGGTTATGCATATATGCATACACATTCTTTGACTGATCTCTTCCGACCCACCCCCCCTCCCTCGCCTTCCCTCTGAGATTCCACAGTCTATTCTATACTTCTGTATCTCTGGGTCTATTTTGTTCATCAGTTAATATGAGTGAGATCATGTGAGACTTACCTTTCTCTGATGGGTTTATTTCACTTAGCATAATACTCTCCAGGTCCCTCCAGGCTGTCTCAAAGGATAAGAGATCCTTCTTTTTTTACAGCTGCATAATATTCCATGGTATAAAGGTACCACAGCTTTTTTTATCCACTCATTGTCTAATGGGCACTTGGGCTATTTCCAGATCTTGGCTATTATAAATTATGATGCTATGAACTTAGGGGTGCATACATTCTTTCTGATTGGTGTTTTGGGTTTTTTAGGATATATACCTAGAAGTGGGATCACTGGGTCAAATGGCAGTTCCATTTTTAATTTTTTGAGGAAACTAAGAGGAGTCCCTTTTTAAATGTTTAAGGAGTTCTCTTTGAAGTTCTCCGGTCTGTGGAAAAAGCTGAGGCTTCAAGGATACTTTCCACAAACTGATCTACCTGTATCTATTCACTTACTCTCCCTTCTAGCTTTTCAGAAAGTTGTGGTCTTTCTCATTCACGCTGACCTTCTTATCTGTACTCCGTCTTCTCCCACGTTTTCACCACCTTGGTCTTGCACCATCTTTGCTTGGACTTTATTTTCATTAAAAACCCCACTGCCCTGCAGTATCTAGTTCCCTTTGCTTCTTTTCTTACACATCAGAGATTCATTCATCTCCCCTTCTGAATATAAGACAACATCTATCTAGAGATAGATAGGAGTATAGCTGATACAGTTTTTCTCAAAAAGCTTTTGACTGCTTGAAGCAAAGAGCCTGAAACATTTCTGATGAAATAATTCATTTTTAGGTATCTGCCCTAAGGAATTAATCAATAACTTCAACTGAAAATTGTGAACAGTCATTATAGAATTATTTAATACAGTGAAATAATTACTCACCAAATATATCAGAGGGGGTTGGTTATACAAATTATAGAGGGTCATATACTGGTAAGAGAAAAACATGTGGCCATTAAAATATATACTGATCAAGACTTCTTAATTTTTATTGAATTTATTGGGACAACATTGGTTAATAAAATTATATAGGTTTCAGGTTTACAGTTCTATAATAGATCATCCATATATTGTATTATGTGTTCACCACTCCAAGTCAAGTCTCCTTCAATCACCATTTACTTCCCCTTTACGCTATTCAATGTTCCCCAATCCCCTTTTCTTTCTAATAATCACCATACTGTTTTCTGTCTCTGGGTTTGGGGTAGAAGGAGTTTGCTCACCCCCTTCACCTTTGTCAACCTATCCCTCAATCCCTCCCTTCTGACAGCTGTCAGTCTAGTCTCTGTATCTATGGGTCTGTTTTTATTCTGTTTGTTAGTTTATTTTGTTCATTAGATTCCACATATAAGTGAAATCATATGGTACTTGTCTTTCTCTGACTGGCTTATTTCACTTAGCATAATGTTCTCTAGGTCCACCCATGCTGTCACAAAGGGCAAGATTTCCTTTTTTTATAGTCCCATAGTATTCCATTGTGTCACTGTACCACAGCTTTTTTATCCACTCATCTGCTGATGGGCACTTGGGCTGTTTCCAGATCTTAGCTATTGTAAATAATGCTGCTATGAAGAGAGGGGTGCATATAGTCTTTCTAATGGGTGTTTCTGGATTCTTAGGATATATACCCAGACGTGTATAAAAAAGCAGTTCCACTTTTAATTTTTTGAGGAAACTCCATACTGTTTTTCACAGTGGCTGCACCAGTCTGCATTCCCACCAACAGTGCACTAGTGTTCCCTTTTCTCTGCACTTGTTTTTGTTGGTTTATTGATGGCAGCCATTCTGGCAGGTTTGATCTTCTGTTCACTATTTCCTGAATCTGTGCCAGTCTTTATGAAAATTAGTTTCTACTTTTTTTGTCTGCCTACATTTTTTATTGTCCCATTTTCCCCACAAAGTCTTTTTTGTGCACAGTATGATACTGAGGTATACATCCTCAGCTGATGCCCAACCCTCTTTGGTGCATGCAGGCTCTACTAGCAAGGAACAGCTCTTCTAACTGGGCTTGGAATGGATATCGGAATCCAGATGGTGAGTGGTATAGACTCCTTTTTCAGGGTGCCTTTTCAGACAAGTAAGTTATCTGAGGCATCCATGCTTTGATCTCCAGCTCTGAGATATCTACCTTGTCAGAAATTCCACTTCAGGGGTTACCTTGAGGCTCTGTCCTGGAGTCAATTGCTTCTTTTTGTACCTTAACCAGCCCTGCCATTGTGCAGGTTAGCATTACCTCCACTTCTGCTTCTCTTTTCAGCCCAACTAATACTATTAGGAGTCTTTCTTTAGCAGATCATTTACTTTGTTCTTAAGACTTTGTATGGGGCTACTTCTGGTAGCTACCCAATATGTCATTTTTGTTGGGAAAAGGATGGTTGGGAGTATGATGCTGATAATAGCAACAACTAGTCTAACCATCAGAAATGTCTAACAGGAATTTAAAAACCTGAATTTCCAGGATAAACCTCTCTTATTTTGTAGTCATTGATTCTGACTTTGGAATTTGAATTATTTGAATTTCTAGGACTTCTTGAGAAGATCTCTTATTCCTTCAGAAATCATCTCCTGTACATAGCTTGAACTGTTCAATTTTTTTTTCTAGTTTCTAGTTTTCTAGTTTCTCCATTATTCCCAATTCATCTGCTCTTTATCATCTGGGAAGTTTCTCAACATTTTATTCTGGTGATGACAACTCTTACTTTTTTTAAGTCTTTTATAGATTTCTTTTTTGTTATTTCATTGTAATATTAGGATTTTCACTCTAATTGTTTTAACCAACATATATACTAGTAAGTCTAAAAATTTGTATTTTTAGCACAGTTCTCCCTCAGAAGTTCCAGATCCATATATCCCAGTGCTTACTGAACAGTAAGAAGATTCCACCAGCACCACAAATTAAACATCAGATTTAAAGCTTGTTGTCTGTCCTTCTCCACTCCAGCCTTTTCCTTTTGCATTCCCTATCTTATTACATAATACCCCTAAACCTAGTCACTCAAGCAAGAAACTTGGGGATCATGCTTGCTGCCTCCTTTCCCTTCTAGTTACTCATCATATGATTTAGAATGTCCCTCTCCCTCTCTCTCCATAACTCATCCTTACCATTTCTAATTTGCTACAGCAGTTGTCTCTCTACCTAAAGTCTTGCTCATTTCTGATGAGCAAGTCAATCTTTCATTCCCAATTGAAATCCTTTAATAGCTATAAATCTTTAAAGGTTTTAGCCCTAAATCCTTAGTAGTACACACCAAGCCCTTTATTCTGGCTCCTGCTTTCCTCTCCAGGATGCACTTTAGCATTGATATAATGCTATCATTGTTGATATATTTGTCTTTCTCCCCAGTAGGCTCTAGCTTGTTTACTTTCTTGTATCCCCAGCATCTATTAAAGTGAATTACCAATTCAATGCAAAATTTACTTAAAATAAAATGAAGTAAAGTGAACCAAAATGTAATTTGTGGCAAGGATGTGGGATTCATAGCCTTCTGCAGAGTTGGGGGAGGAATACTTTTCTTTCTTAAATATATATATTTTTTTCTTTTATTGATTTCAGAGAAGAAGGGAGAGGGAGAGATAGATAGAAACATCAATGATGAGAGAGAATCATTGATAGGCTGCCTCCTGCACGCCCCCTACTGAGGATTGAGCCCACAACCCTGGCATGTGCCCTTGACTGGAATCGAACCTGGGACCCTTCAGTCCACAGGCCAATGCTCTATCTACTGAGCCAAACCAAGTAGGGCAGGGGAGGAATACTTTTATTGGCTATGCATAAAAGTGACAAGATTTATATTTTGTGTACAAAGTCTTTTCTCTGACATTAATCCAAAGTACATGACTATAAGGACAAGACTGAACTATTTCCTAGTTATTAAGGCTTCAAGACTTAAACACTCCACTTCTGAAATCTTGAAATCTATCCATTGTTTATTTGTTTTTTTGTTTGTTTGTTTGTTTTGTGTGTGTTTTTTTACAAACCCTTGTGTTGAGGGCTGACTTTTAATAGATCGCAGCGTCCATTGTTTGTTTTTATCATTGAATTTTCTTTGTTCCCTAGAAGACTTGAATGAAAATTCTGTGGATAATCTTCAAGAGAAAGGACTTGGGGATCTTTTACATGAAGAGCTTTTCTGCTGGCTAATTTTGGAAGAGATGGCCAGTACCATAACTGGGAGTAAGGATTACATTGTGAATCTTCACGGAGAAATGTACAGGAGGCCTGAGCTAGATCTTTCCCTTTGTCAAAAGTGGGGAGAAGCATCTTCTCATGTTTCCAGCAACAAGAGCAGTGGGTGACCCTTCAAGGTGGTGATGTCAACAAGTATTTAAGTGCCATGGAAAGTGAAGAGTATTTGTCTTTGAAAGTTCCGAGCCAAGTGGCCACACAGGACTCCTCAGTGACATTTTGTAAGAATGAGCCCCAGGATCCTCAGGAGAGAAAAAGTCTGTTTGTAACAGAAGAAAGTACTGAGAGAAAAGTATTAGGAGGGAAAAGTCCGCCCATAGGCCACTGTTCAGAGACCCTTCATATTAAACTTGTGTCTGATGTAATAGAACTGGTCTCACCATTGTTCAGTGGTGAAGCTATTTGCCAGAAGAGCCAATTGAAAGAATCCTTGGATCCCTTTGACTGTAACTGTAATAACATTTATGGTGGGAAATCACGGGTGGTCAGTCATCAGAGAGCTCCTACAGAGAAGCATCCCTGTAACCATTATGACTCTGGAAAAATACCTAATACCAGCTCAGATAGTCATCCATGTGAGAAAATGCACAATGCAGAGAAACAATACCAATGCAGTTGGTGTGGTAAGGACTTCAGGGAGAGCTCAGAACTACTACTTCATCAGAGAGACCACACAAAAGAAAAGCCCTACAAATGTGAGCATTGTGGGAAGGGTTTCGTGAGGAGCTCAAGTCTCCTCATCCATCAAGCCATCCACACTGATGAGAAACCTTATAAGTGTGACAAGTGTGGGAAGGGCTTCACAAGGAGTTCAAGTCTGCTTATTCATCATGCAGTCCATACAGGCGAGAAACCTTATAAATGTGACAAGTGTGGGAAGGGCTTTAGTCAGAGCTCCAAATTGCATATCCATCAGCGAGTGCACACTGGTGAGAAGCCCTATGAGTGTGGGGAGTGTGGAATGAGCTTCAGTCAGCGCTCTAACCTGCACATCCACCAGCGAGTCCACACAGGAGAGAGGCCCTACAAATGTGGAGAGTGTGGCAAGGGCTTCAGTCAAAGTTCGAACCTTCACATTCACCGGTGCATACACACAGGGGAGAAGCCTTACCAGTGCTATGAGTGTGGGAAGGGCTTCAGCCAGAGCTCAGATCTCCGCATCCATCTCAGAGTTCACACTGGGGAAAAGCCTTATCACTGCGGCAAGTGTGGGAAGGGGTTTAGCCAGAGCTCCAAACTCCTCATCCACCAGAGAGTACATACTGGAGAAAAGCCCTATGAGTGCAGCAAGTGTGGGAAGGGCTTCAGCCAGAGCTCCAACCTCCACATCCACCAGCGAGTTCACAGGAAAGATCCCTGTTAACAAGCTCTTCAATTATATGCTTGTACTCTAAAGACTTAAATATTTTTAACATCACTCTGACCTCTATATTCTATGAAGAAAGATGAGTTATTAAGATTTCCCTCACTGAAAATAATTCATTCATTTGAAGTATTTAAGTGCCAAGAACTTTGTTATATTATACAATGAATTCCTTATCCTAGTTCCTTAGATAGGTGGAGTGAAAACAGCTGTACACTAGCTCAGCCAGTATTGTTAGAACTATACTAGAGGCCCAGTGCATGAAATTTGTGCACATATAGGGTCCCTAGACCTGGCCAGCAATCAGGGCCGATCAGGACTTTCATTCCCTGGCTGACAGCTGCTAGCCAGGGCCTTCCTTCATTCTGCGCTGCCCCCTGGTGGTCAGCACACATCATAGCGAGTGATTGAACTCCTGGGGGGACACTTTGCATATTAGCCTTTTATATATATAGATACCCGCATTTATAACTGCAAGGACATTACATTTATCCAAGTTCAACATGTTTCCCTTTGTTCACAATCTCTGAGAAAACATAACACTGATTTCTCTTCAAATCATGTGTCTTGTGTTTTTCATATTTCTTTCCAGCCTGAGTAGCCCTGAATAAACTATAATTGTATAACATATTGGTTTTAAGCCATGGGGTAGTTGGAGATAAAATCAACATAGAAATTTGTTTTGTTTATTGCAAAAACATACAACAGTCTGTGGCCACACAAGAAGAAGATGGAGAAGAGCTCCTTGTGTAGTACAACCCATACACCATTTTAGAGGATGTTGAGCCCCCCTCCCCACAAAGCAAGAGCTCGATAACATAACTACCGTAGTTGTTTTTTATGGGTGTAGCTAGTCTATTGGGTTCTTCCAGATCTCACCACCTCATATGACTCCCCAAACTAGAGCCAGATAGGTTATATACACTATGTTGAAACATTTCAAATGAAGTTGAAACCTACTTAAATGAATTCAGTTCCTCTCTCAACAATTCCCTCTCTGTTTTCTTAATTTTCTTGACCACCCATGTTCTATACCAGCGGTTCTCAACCTGTGGGTCGAGACCCCTTTGGCGGTCGAACGACCCTTTCATAGGGGTCGCCTAAGACCATCCTGCATATCAGATATTTACATTACAATTCATAACAGTAGCAACATTACAGTTATGAAGTAGCAATGAAAATAATTTTATGGTTGGGTCACAACATGAGGAACTGTATTTAAAGGGCCAGAAGGTTGAGAACCACTGTATACCAAGCAAGACAAAAGAATCAGGAGTTTCTGATGTTTATCTCTGGGCTTATCTCTTAATATTTGATTTACTAAAAAAAGTCATTTGTTTTTGCAGCATCTCTGGCCTCTTTAGACCTCACTATAGACATCTCATATTTATAAATTATTTTTGTATTTGGCTAAAAGTATTCCATATGAAAGTAGCTATATAAAAATTTTTAAACCATATTCAGGTCTAGCCGGCGTGGCTCAGTGGTTGAGTGTCAACCTATGAACCAGATGGTCACAGTTTCATTCCTGGTCAGGGCACATGCCCTGGTTGCGGACTTGATCCCCAGTGTGGGGTGTGTAGGAGGCAGTCAATGATTGTATATACAAAACTAAATTGGAATTTACTATACAATGAGCTCTTCACTGCAGCCCTGAATTTCTAAATGGTGGTTAATGAGTCCTCTAGCAGTGTTCTGGAGGCTGCCCAATTATCCAGATCTGTTTTTCTCCAGTGATTAGTATTCATATGTGAAAAATATCAGGGAAATTATGCATGCTTTGTTTACTAGCCTGAGAGGTGATCTTATAACTGATATATCCAGCCAAAGGCAACCTAACACAGTTAATTGGATATAGATAGCAGGGGAGGTATACATTAATTTAGAGAAAACATAGCTAATCTCTATTAAGGGTGAAGGAGGTTGGCAGATTAAGATATTTACCCTACTTAAAGAGACAGCCCAGAATATTTGACTCCAACCCATAGCAGTCCATATGGAATGATTAGGGTAATGACTAAGCTTTTATACCCAAAGTCTCAAGTGGGTATAAAATAGCCTGTTTTTCCAGATTTCCTCTTATACATAAGTTACCAATGTTTTTAACTATGTTTTTACTGTCTCTTTTAAGCATTACCTTTCTTAATACAATTGAAATGTGATTAGTCCTTGGAGAGCATGTCACTAATTATGGGAAGGAAGTTTAGAGAAACCAAAATATTAGAAAAAGAAACACATGCATTAACAATGGGATATGTCACATTTCATCAGATCTTAAGACACCATGGATTGTGAGGGGAAAAACTAGTTGATTTTTTATTAGAATTGCTGAAAACTCATTCCTTTTCATAGTTCAAGGGTTGCCCTAGTTCTTGTTTATTTTGAACAGGACCTTTGGGTAGTTTTGTTATCTGAGAAATGAGTGGATGGGTTCTCTCCGTTGCTAGTGGGAATGGGGTTCTTGGGGTGCCACTGGAATAAGCATTTTTGGAAGCCCCCACAGGAAGATGAGATGTGGTAGAAAGCTTTATTTGCATGGAATTACATCCCTGGGATTCAAAGTCCCATTTCCCTTAATCCAGTCGTGGAAGAGGTGCAGTTGGGGATTCAGCAGAGCTAGAAGCAAAGCCAGAGTTTCCGTTCCAGTTTAGCATTAAGCTAGTTGCAGTCCATTTGTCCATTGTGTGTGGGGATCACATGGCCTGGCCATGGACCATGTGGGCAAATGCAGGAGCGTGAGAGTCCTGCAGTCAGGAATGCAAGAGACAGGTGCAGGAACCAAAAGGCAAGAGAGCAAAATGCTTTGTTTAAGAGATTATCTGAAACCTTCCCGTGCTTGCAGTGGCCACACAGACAAGTACTTTCCCTGTGTCACCCAGACTTTACCGGGCATGCCTCTATTCTTCCTTTGTCCAGTTCCCTCCCCCAAGATCTGCGGGGAACAGTCCTGGAGAGTGTTAAACTGCAGTTTCCTGGCAAAGCTGCACAAACAGCATGCCCATAATATTTGGCCTTCCATTTGCTCCTTTCCAATTACTAATAACTAGTTAATTACAACTGTATCAGTCTCAGTAAATCACTATGTTCAATTGGTAATTCACTACTTTAGCAAAGGATCTAGGTTACAATTTATTATTTATTGAGTACTTGAGACAAGCATTTACAATTCTTAAAATTCTTTTTTTTAATATATTTTATTGATTTTTTACAGAGAGGAAGGGAGAGGGATAGAGAATTAGAAACATCGATGAAAGAGAAACATCGATCAGCTGCCTCCTACACACCCCCTACTGAGGATGGGCCCGCAACCAAGGTACATGCCCTTGACTGGAATCAAACCTGAGACTCTTCAGTCCACAGGCCAATGCTCTATCCACTGAGCCAAACCAGCTGGGACTTTGCTTTCTTTATAGATTGTATAATGTCTTCAGGTCAAGATACTGGTGATTATGTGATTACTACTTGTAGTGACAGTTCCAAATTAGATTATTTTTAATTCTTCCTTCCTGGTGCCCCACACTGACAGCCAGAAACATAGAAGTTCACTTTTGCAGTTCCATAGCCTTCCTCGTATTTTTATTGGTGAGAAGGGTTCATAACAGCTGGAGTGCAAGGCTGAACCCCAGGTAATGAAAGCAAGGGAAAGTCCAAAGAAACATGGTCGCCAGAGTAAAACTGGCATTGGGTTGGTACCTGAGAGCAGGTGATACCAAGTAGGTATAAGAGATAGAAATTTAAAGAGAGAGAAAAAGAGAGAGAGAGAGAGAGAGAGAGAGAGAGAGAGAGAACTGGGAAAAGCTAACACATAGGAAGCGTGTGGCAACTGATCAGCAAGGGCTACAGAAATGTCATGGTTTGATCAGGTAAGCAAAATGACTAGCAGAGAAAAGACTAGGAAATGTGATTTTGTTAAACATGTCTGGTCCCTGGACCACAATTAAAATGCTAGGGAATAATATTTTAATTTATAAAACCACAGCAATAAAGAGGAAAAAGACCATAAGCAAACGAGATCTCAACAAAAATTTGAAGACGGAAAGAGGATAACTATTGTATCAGAAGCAGACACCATTGATACTGCTTGCCTATGAAGATAAGGAGTAGAAGGAACCAGTTTGGCTGCAGGCTCAGGAATGCCTAATAGAATGGGAGATATGGAGGGAAAGCAGTAAAATTAATGACAGTTGGAACATTTCTCTCATCCCATACACACATTCCCTCTTCCCCAATCCCTGTGCACTGTCAACCAGGGACTTACCCTCCAACAAGAGATGGGGAGTTTATTCCCTGAAGAAATTGGCCCCAAGGGAGAGACTTCTGTATCTTGGCATTTGATAATCCAACAGAGGTTCAACACCAGCAGGAGCCAGCTGTGATGCAATGCAAGTTGCCCTGGGGCCTTGGGTCAGCTGCAGTTTGTTAGGTAATTATCAGATTTCAAAGGGCCAGACCTTTCATATGCAAAAGCCTCCATGTATGGCTTGGGCCAGGCGGGGTCCCAGGGGATCAACAGGGCGGAGTGAGCAGTTATGGCTGCTCTCAGTCCTGCCCTCAGAGGCCCTGCTTCTCAGTGTCCCGGCAATCGCTGCAAGCACCCCCCCAACAACAGCATGATACAAATTCTTTTCAAGTTGACAGTTTTGGGCTAGAAAGCAAGTTCCAAAAGATTTAAAAGACACACCTAGCCGGTGTGGCTCGGGGGTTGAGCGTCAACATAGGAACCAGGAGATCAGCATTTGATTCCCAGTCAGGGCACAGGCCCAGGTTGCCAGCTCTATTCCAGTGGAGGGTGTGCAGGAGGCGACCAATCAATGATTCTCTCTCATTATTGATGTTTCTATCTCTCCCTCTCCCTTCCTCTCTGAAATCAATAAAAATATATTTAAAAAATAAAATTAAGATGCATGTTGGAAATAATACTTGCTGTTTTATTTAAAACTTGATAGAAGGGTATTCATCAGTTTTTTGTTTTTTGTTTAATATGGAATGCTTCACAAATTTGCATGTCATCCTTGTGCAGGGGCCATGCTAACCTTCTCTGTGGCATTCCAATTTTAGTATATGTGCTGCCGAAGCGAGCACAGGAGTTCATTTTTTGCTTCCATGCTGCTAGATGTTTTGGTAGGCCACATCCAAGAACTTGTAAGGAGACAGGAGTGGAGACCTCGCATAGTGATCCAGATCATCGTCTTCAATTGAGGAGGATATTTCACCACTGCTTATAGAAGTTTGCAATTCTTACTTTTCCTTGGTACATCACTATCCATATAACGTTAGTGGATAAGATGGAGTAAATGGGGAATTCAGAAATTCACTGCAAAGTCGTTAGTGAAAAAAAAAATTATAATGAACATAGGCAAATTTTCAATTATGTATTTACATACCTAAGTAATCCATAGCACAAATGGATAGAAAATCAGTAAAGATATATAAGATTTTCAATTAACTAACTGATATTTCTAGAACACTCCACCCAACAACAGCATGATACAAATTCTTTTCAAGTTGACAGTTTTGGGCTAGAAAGCAAGTTCCAAAAGATTTAAAAGACACACCTA